GATATACACGCGACGCTACAGCCGTCTTTGAGGACGTAGGGAGTCGGCAGGACTTACAATAGTAGGACGTCTCACCGCCTTTACCTCCATTCGCTCTCTTCATCTTAGAACACACCTTACAAATACGTTGACGACGCTTCCGCCCTTGGCCATTGTTGCCATCCCTCCACTCATCAACCTGAAGGAGCTCGTGTAGATGCCGTGCAGGGGCCCCCCGCTTTCTCGGCTTGGTTGGCGTCTGCTGTGTGCAGCAGATTCCATCCCAATCCTCTTCATTTAGCTGCACTAGCTCCAAGTGTAGCTGTTTGAGAAACTTGATGTGAGATACTTTTCTTTTGCCTTCTACTACTCGACGCTGGTTATAGACTATCAAGGAGTTCATGATTGCCAGATCGATGATCCCAAAAAAAAGACCCTTGTAGTACTTCTTGTATTTCAGTGAAAGCTGGAGAGAGTATCTATGTAGTATGTAACATACAGGTTAAAAATTGGATATCCGGTACATACAAACACAGCAACTTGCCTTTGAAGACGGAGTTGATCATGGACATCAACTCCGCCCATGAACGTCTGGTAATCCTTCAGGATTCTTGGGCACGCTACTTCGGCTTGCTCACCCAATTTCTCTCTCCTTACCACGCGGTCTTGTTGAATGCTACCTCTAGAACTTAGCAGATGCACGGGACGGTTATCCCACCAGCAGACAGCCTTCATACATGGCACGACCGATGATTCAGTCACAGTGTATAATCGCCGGGGCACAATCGCCGGTCGCTTCTTTTTCTTTTACACAATCGCTTTGCAGAAGCCCTTGCGGTTCGTCATGATGGTCCCGAGGCTGTAGAAGCCTAGGGCCAGAAGCTGCATTGCAAGTGAGGCTGACGTATAAAAGCGATCGGTCACGATTAAACGCTTTTCGACCGACCCATCGCTTCAAAACACCTCGATTAGATTGCGAATAACCGCAGCCGGTCCGGACTTCGTGTCCGTTAAAGCAACATTTACCCCAGTCTGCTTTTTACCGCAATACACTTTAAACCTGTAGGATACAAGACGCCGCGGTTAGTAGCCTGTAGATACAGGATAAGATAACTTTAGAACCAAAAAGAAAATACGGGCGTGCCTGCTGGCATGCCCGATACTCACGGAATACAGTACGCCGTCGAAGAGCAGCACAGCATGAATAGCTTGGTGCCCCACTTGTGGGGCTTGTCCTTCATGTAAACTCGCATGCGGCTGAATGACGACCTTGATGGAAGCATCGCCTCGTCAAATACCATTACTAACGGTGGATTGTAGCCAAGTTTGAAGCGTTCTTGAAGAGAATCGATCACAGACCGAAGTTTCCATGCGCGGTCACTCGTAGCGCGAGGGTCAGAATTGCTACTAAAACGTAGGTTTCTGGAGATGTGCATGAATCGATCTCTTGTCATGTAAATCCCGAAGCGACCACGTGGAATAGCTCCTTCATCAGTCGACTTCCAGTGATGTTGCAGCTTCTCCTTGTTCGGCGATATCGTTCTGGCAACCAATAGACCGATAAAGCGCCCAACTCTCGAGCTGTAATATCTGGTGTATTTAGAAGACTGGCGTTGATCTCCTCTCGACTACTTTTCTTATAGTCAGGCTGCTTCCTTTCACGCGCATCTTGCTTCTTGTATTGCCCCTCAACTCTCTCATCCAGGTGCTCCATAAAGTATTCGTTTGACGCAGCAGCAATATCCTCCCACAACTGCGGCTGAACGAAATAAAAGAAGATGTCCATCGCCGTAGACTGCTTCAAGCGCTCGATTTGTTGGTCCATAGCCTCCACCGTAAAGCCCCGGGACTTTATTTGCCATAGCGCCACTATCTCGAGCTTCATATGGCTCGTCCAAGTATGGGTACGGACTGTATGACACAGGTTCCTTCCAGCCACTCGTGCCCATATCCTTCAGGATATCAGCGTTTATATTACCTCCCGCAATACCGGCAATACCACCAGCAGATTCTAGCAACATCTCGTCGAATAAGACATCGTCCGCTTCCTCGTCACTATCACTCTCTTCAAGAACAATGTCTTCGTACACATTAACTTCTGCCTCCGAACTTTCACCATCAGACGCGCCGTCGTCGTTCTCAGCGTCAGACTCTAATACAGTAAACTCATCTAAATTGTCTTCATTCTGTAGAATGTTCACATCTGGAATATATAGATACAAGATACAAGTTATAATTAGTATCATGTATCATTATCCTGTACATACAAAGTGGCCAACCTGATAATACAGCAGCTATTCCCGAAGACCGGCCTGGGACAGCTTCAGCTCTTGTATGCAGCTCTTCACAATCACTCTCCTTCTCTTCTGTACCAAGTGCGTAGTCTTCCGCATCTCCTCTCTCCGCTTCACCAGCAAAAGCATCTCTCAAGTTGCGGCGCGTGATGGAGAGTATTCCGAGCCCGACGAGTCAGCAAGTGATCTTTCCGCTCGTTGAGTCAGTTGAGGACTCTCATAACGCAGTGTAGGGGGTACTGATCCGCCTTCACCTGCTGCTCTGTCGCTGCCTACTCGCAAATACAATAACACGTTAGATACAGACTAATAAAGTCAATCATTCTGTAAGATACAGGACATACCAATTGAGGGAGAGTCTGCAACGTTCCGCGGTGGTGTGTCGCGTACAGGCACGTCTACTTGTTCACCGGAAGCTGGCGATACATTGGGCGATGTTTGCTGCTCAACAAAAGCTTCGGTACCAGACACCGCTACTAGATACATCATATCAGCAAGATACAAGTTACAACGGTGACTCAAAAAGGATAATACAGGATATAAGCGCAGTTACCGTCACAGCCGCTGCTTTGGGCCGTGTCTACGATCGGCGGGGTCTGAGACGCCTTCTTTGCCGCCTCTGTGATAAATTGATAAGTGTTAGGCTTACTACAAACCCGTTTGGTCAATAGTATGAGCTCACCCAAGTCCAAGCGATCCAGATAAAGCATCAATTCTTCCTTGCCGACAAAAATGTCACTCCCTCGCATGTCATTTTTCGTCTTTCCGGGCCTGAGATAAGTATAGTCGTTTGAAAGACCTGTTGGCGGTCTCGATCTCCATCCTTCTTTTGTCAGCTCTGCCCAACGCTGTCTGAAACCCGACATCTTTGCTCCACGCGGCGCTTTCTAGAATGAGCGAAATGAGTGGCGGTGAAATTTCAACCGTAAGACTTTATGATTGTAGTCCACACCAATTCCTGCCTCTATATTCGTATATGCAAACGGTGTGGGCCTGCGGGAGGGATAGGTTTGCTTATCCTTAAACCCAAAACCTATTTAACCTAAAGTTTGTACACAAACATACAAACTTTACGTTTATTTTCTTATCCTGTATTATACAGGATAAGCATTTTTTCTAATCCCGGAGAATACAGGCCGTCGGGCTCAAGGGGTTAATTCGTTCCAAAAAGCGTTATTTGCTTCCTGGTCTCTGTTATGAAGTTTCTAAAAATATAGGCTAATCTACGGTGATAGAAGCTTTCAGATACGGGCACTCCGATCCTGAACGTGGCTCTGGAGCAAGTGCTAAGGCAATTCCTATAAATTGGTGGACAGAGAAGTACGAGACACTGTGTGATTCGAAATCATTCAGCATTCTTTAATTATTAATAATACTTTCTTCTATCATGCTGTATCATTCAAGTATCTTTATGATTTGCTTCAAGAAATGGTACCAAATAAGGCCCTTTGATTAATTAATATCATGGGTGTGTAAAGTAAACTCTATATAAGTGTATCACGAAGAGTTAATTTTGATTGGTACTACCGGTAGTACTGTGCTCATTATCAGAATATCTAACGTGGAGTAAATTTTTACAGTACGATGGTTGATGGAGAGAATACTGGAGTTACCCTCACGAAGGAGAACTGCTAGACGATTCATTGCAAACACGGCCGCGAAATATGTGCGATTTCCTCAAGTGTCAAATTTATAAAGTAGAAAAGACCAACCTAAAAATGAAACGTAAAGTCTTCGATCACAACATCGATTCCCTAAATCCGTGTCTAGTGAGGCTCCGACACTCGACTTGCGACACCGGGCAGCCTAAGAATTCATTGCCTACGAAAGCATCGCATAGACAGCTACGACAATTAGTGACGTCAGCGCTACGCCATACGTAACTAAGAGGAACTGTTTAGAGTAGTACCACCTGGATGGCCTATTTGCCACCGCTTTTGCGACAGTCTCCGTGACCTTCGCTGCCTGCTTCTCGTCAACATTTTTGAGTTGGCCTACTGTCTTCAAATTATCGAAGTCCTCTTTCCATTTTCCAGACTTTGAATCCAGGGGATTAACTCTCGCTCCGAGCTCCGTCTTGACGATGGCAGTCTATATATTCTTTGTGGAAGTTGCTGTTTGTTACCCCTCAGCGTGCTTTCTCATGTTTTTCACGAAACTTTTCCTTCAATTTTTGCACCGGCATTCTTTATCATCTCGGTGATTTTGCATTCTTGCTTGGCCGAGCCGATACTGAAGCAGCTCACAGCGAATGTGGCCGCCACCAGAGCGAGGAACAGACTGAAGTGCATAGTGGCAAACTGGGGGAGGTTCAGCTTTGCCGTGTGAATCTACAATTGCAATTGCGGAATGATCGAGACACAAACAAGCCTAGGAGAGACATTCACCATAAAACGCTGGGAATCGGATTTTCAAAACACTCGAAAATTTTGACAAATTTGAGGGATATAATTAACAAGATTAATTTTTATGGATAAAAATGTGGACCATTTGCGCATTTTTGCAGACCGATCAGCTTACTCGACGCAGACGACGTCAAAGCTGACTAAGGATTCAGAGGACCTGGCCATGCTTGCGTGTGTCGACAGTTCCAATTTATGCGTGAACGGTGCTGAGCTCGAGGAAGATCCCAAAGCGTAACATGAATAACTTTCATACGATTTTTAATCCGTTGACGTCTATTGCTTGCTCTCCCTTATACACTCTATATCACCCCCCCCCCTCCCATTTGCTTGCTTGATCACTTCTAATACTCCTTGTACACTCGTGTTCTTCGTCGAATCCACGAGCAGTTTTTATCAGTCTACAAAACCTATAAAACTCTCCAAACTCTACGAAGACAGAGCGTCGTGAGTCAGTGGAGTCGTCTCTTTCTTCCATTGCGCCAGTTCATCATCACGAGCGGCCACAATTTGCCGTAGACGGCGGTTTTCCAGCTCCAGTTCTCGAATTTTACTCATTCGCGTCTCCTGTTCCGCCTGAGCGATCTCAAGTCCACGTACGAATTCTCGCAGCAATTCCTTCTGGCTGAACAAATCTCTTTCCTCTGTGCGTTGCCATCGACCAGTCCGCTGGTCCATTTTGGCCAATTCGTCCAAGTATTTATTCTTCAGCAACGACGTGAGAGACGGACGCGTGCTCGGTGAGCTCTGAGGCGCTTCAACAGCTCCCGAGTTCGGTGGAGTGTCGTGTTGTTGTGCGTCGTCTTCACGTTCAGGTTCGTCTTCTTCATGTCCGTCTTCTTCCTCTTTCGTCTCTGCGAGGTCTTCGTCATTGTCTGTGAGATGGCGAGACGACGATGTGGACAAGGGCAGCGTCTTGGTACTAGCACTCCCGCCACTGCCGATCAGCGTCTTGTTCGAGGTATTGGCGGAGCTCCCAGAGTGGACGAGACGTGGACGAGCTAGGTCGTCCTTGCCCTCGTCTTCCTCCTCCGGTTGGTTAATACTGACAGTACTGGTGCTGTGCACTGGCTCACGACGCAGCAAAGGGCGAGTGGCGGCTCTGGACGGAGCCTGCGAGGTCTGTTGCTCCCTCTCGGCTTGTTGTCGAGCTTTTAGTTGTCGCGGTGTCGGCTTCCGCTCGGGTTCACTCCGACGCGTAGTCTGGATGGGAGGTGGAGGAGGGTGCGGTGTTTCCCACGCTTCGGGGGGTGTAGCCATGGATGGGAACGTGTCTTCATCTATAGACGCGAGCTCCTCGTCATCCGGTCGCTCCTGGCCTTGCGACGAGTTCAAAATGACCCTATTGATGTTGTTGATAGCGAACTTGAGCTCCATCTGACGCTCGTTCACTGTCTGGATAGCGGTACTGGGTCCTCTCGGTCTTCGACGTATCTGCAAATGCTCCAGTTGCTCCTCTAACTCTCGAATGCGCGCTCGGTATTTCCGCAGTAAGGCCGACTCGCCCAGGCCTTCATTGACCACCACTCGGTTGCGAACTCTTCTGGCGCGACTAGCAAACTTCAACGTGTTGTGGGTCTCCGTCAAGCACTCGACAGACGGAGAAGCAGTGCAGACGATGGCGATTTGTGCTTGGCCTCCCAGTGACGGCTGTAAGATTCGAGTGAGCTTCGAGTTGCGATACGGCAAGTGCGGCGTGCTGGGAGCTCTAACTCCGCTAACGCTCTTCCTGTGACGATCTCGACTGAGCTTCCAGATGATGTGGCCGAGTGTGAGTAAGCTGCGGTTGATGAACTTGCCCTCTTCTAGCGCCTGCCCCGTAGTGTTGGCGAGTCGAACACTCTCCGAGCCAGCGAGATCGATAATGTTGAGCGTCGCCGAGCGCACTGGCGCAACTTCCCCTCGGTCTCTGCTACTGCGTTTGGCTTGACTCTCGATGACCTTCAAGCGACAGACAGAAACACGCCACAAGACCGTGAGTAAGTGAGTCAGTTCCAAGCTCAGTGCTACTGTGACGAGCCCCCTCCTCCCTGTCTGTCGTGAGGCTGTCCACGTAGCATGAACTCGAGCAATAAAAAAGCAAAACATATAAAAAAAAAATAGAAATCATAAAATTGTACCATTCGAAACACGACGTGAGATCTGGAGGATTGATCGTTCGACTCGGTCATGGCCATGTGACGGTGCAAGTTGCCCACCTCCACTAGCGACAGCACGTGCTCTGTGGACAGCACAATCTCCTCTCGCAGGCCTTTGATCACCACGTCTTTCGTCACGAACCCGTCGCGCGTATTGCCTGCAGCTGCTCGGTTGTGGACGTCGTAGATCTTGATGTCCGACTTGGCTCCGGCCGCCAGCAAATCGTGGATCCGCTCGTTGTAGATCTCTAAATACGAGAAGCGCAGCAGGAATTCCATGCTCGGATGTCGAGCAATGTGCTCAAAAATGTCCTGCACGCCTAACTGAATGATACCGGGATCTCCTCGCCCACCCTGAACGGTACAGTAGGCATGAGATTAAGAAAAAGATTCTCATAACAACCTTAAAAATAAAATAATTACCTGCATGGTGTACGTTTTGCCTGTGCCGGTCTGTCCATACAAGAAGACGGACGAGTGGTAGCCTTCGGTCGCAGCCATTATGGCATCCTAGAAAGCGATAAAAAAAAATATCGTTAGTGTCGTCACACTCCCTTAGCGTGGGACGTCCTCATCCTTGCACGACAAGAGGCAGCCCAGTAAAGCTCCTCCCGAACGTTATGCAGTTATGTGCTCCCTTTGTTGCTTTTTGTACCTTGACAGTCTCCTTATAAACCGTTTGGGTTTGAGTCGCTGGGGGGTACAAATAGTCAAACGAGTAAGAGGACGGCAACGCGGACGACTCCCGCAGCGCCGAAGAGCTGGAAGACGCCGTGGATCCGCCGCTGCGTTTCTTCTCCTCGCCGTCGCTCGTGGACACCCGCGACGGGATCTGCGCTGGGAAAATCTGCTGATAAATAGTGTTCTCGTGCCTATTTTGAAGCGCAAAATAGGTCAATTTCGAGGCGGTAAAATGGGTCGTGGGCTCAAATTGCGCCACGTACCATGTCCAGGCCGCTTTGCCGCCGGCCTTGAGCTTCTCGGTGCGTGTGAAGGGGCGCAAGCGGACGCACACCTTGATGCGTTTATCGCGCACGGGGGCGCTGGACGACGCCATGCCACTGCAGCCGAGGGGGGAGCGCGAATCCGAGACTAAGAAGCCCTCAGGGATTGTTCCGGGCAGCTCGGCGCTGCTACAGACGGCGCAGAGAGCGCGCGCCGCGGCAATGAGGGAGTCCGGCGACGGTACCGTCGTCCCATCCACGTCGTGACCCATCGTGGTGTACTCCACACAAGAGCAAACGAGACAACCTTCGTCCGAAGTCGACAATTGGTACTACGGCTCCTTTTGCAGTGGGGGTTTGGTGGGTCTGTGGTGGTCTCAACTGGCTGCGGCAATTGCTGTGGAGTTGCTGCTGTTTCCGCTGAGGTGATGATGAGTTTTGAGCGCTGAGGCTTTCAAGATTCTCACCGCTTGTTGCTACGTTGAGACGAGCTGTGGAGCGCCACGGGTGACGTGGCAAGCTCCGGCCCGACGACCAACAGCGTGTATTCGATGGGTTCGTTTTTTTCAGCGACCTATCAACGGCGACTGCAATGTACATGTAGAGCCAACAAGCTGAACTGCTTGAGCCTTGGTGTGAAGACTTTGAGCGCAATGGAACTTCATTGCAAGCCGGTCGCTGCGGCACCTGCGGATTCTGTGGGTGTTCGGCCCTGTCGACTGGAACTTGAGTTGCCTCTCAACTTTCGCCTGCTCCAGTCGTTCGCAAACCCCAGTCAGACAGGACAAGCGATAGTTGCACAAAGCCGAGCTGTGCAGCGATGCAAAGCAGCATTAAATTTCGTTGACGCACGAAGAACTTGCTGTAGGTGATTCTTTTAATATCATAGTACGAAGTAAGATGCAATCTTTGACTTCACTGCCTGCGAGGTTCACAGCAAAGTTGCCGTTGCTGCCGGCTTTGGGGCTCGGGGATCCCTTCAACGTGGCGGCGATCTTGCAGCAGGAAGATCAGAATCGTCTCAAAGATGTCTAACTGCGTAGAGACGAGGCGCTCATCCCCACAATCCAACGATGAAGTCGTCTTTCACTTTCCACAAACTACGTGTTTTACACCACAATTGCATTTTATGTTTTATTGATGTTGGGTAAAGATCATACATTTCCATGCTGGCCGCTCGTCGCTTGCTTTTGCGGCCCGGAGTGGCGGTCTCCAGTCGCTTCTTCGCCTCCAGCAGTGCAAGCCAAATGCAGATCCTTGAGACCATCGACGCCTTCCGTCAGGCGCGACACGCGCTGCCTCCAAACGCGACGCTGGGTCTCGTTCCGACGATGGGGGTACGTTATTAGCTTGCACCAACACAATACCCATTTTTCCGGTTATCTAATGGACAATATCTATTGCTTACTATATATGTTGCAGGGCCTCCATGAGGGTCACATGTCGTTAGTAAAGCAGGCGCGTAGCTCCTGCGACTTTGTGGCTGCCAGCATCTTTGTAAACCCGGCACAATTCGGTCCAAACGAGGACTATTCCAAGTATCCGCGGACGTTCGAGAAGGACGTGGCGTCGCTGAAGGAACAAGGTGTCAATTTGGTCTTCTTCCCATCGGCGGATGAAATGTATTCGCCCCACCACAGCTGCTACGTCGATCCGGAGGGGTTTGACGACCTGGTGGAGGGTCGATGTCGCAAAGGCCACTTCCGTGGCGTCGCCACAGTCGTCACTAAGCTGTTTAACATCGTACAGCCGACACACGCGTTCTTCGGACAGAAAGATGCGGCTCAGGTCGTGTTGATCAAACGCATGGTGTCAGACCTGAACATCCCGGTGCAGATTAATGTCGTGCCTATTGTGCGTGAGGCTGATGGTCTGGCCTTGTCGACACGTAACCAGTATTTGTCGCCTGTGGAGCGAGAGGTGGCCAGTGTATTACACCGCGGACTTGGGCATGCACAGGATTTGTTCCAGAAGGCGAAGAAGGACGGCAAGTCGACGATCAATGCAGCGGCACTGCGCGATGTTGTTCGTCAGGAATACGAACGTCAACCGCTGGTGAATGCCATCGACTACGTGTCTGTGGGGTCAAAGCAAACGATGCAGGAGTTGTCCGAGGTGGATACGATCGAGGGAGCCATCATTTCTGTCGCCGTCAAGCTCGGCCAGTGCCGACTGATCGACAACATCGTTCTGTAAGGGAATGATGCTCCTTTCACCAGACCTAGAAAAAAATTGATCTGGTAACACTAAATAATGCTTTCAAGTAGAGCATGGTCGCCTGTCAGTTGCTTCGCTTCTTGGCAGTCCACGTCGAGTTCGAGTCCAGCGATCGTTTGCGACTGTTGGTTGCAGCACTTGAGCTTGTCTGATTCAACATGTCTGCATCCAGCTCACCCCAATCAATGTCGTCCAGACTATCATCGATCACGATGCGATTGGCAGTTGCAGTGGGCCTTGTTGATGTCGACGAAGCTTTGCGTTTGTTCTTGTCCTGGAAAAATGGGGACGACTTGGGCGCTGCAGGGACTTCGATGACCTCGACACCAGAATCCAACACTTCTAAGCTGTCCAGCACGTTGGTAGAGCGCACTGCTTGCACAGGTGATGGAGTCAGGTTGTTCTATTACAGCAAGGAAGTAAATGTCAGTAAAACAACGCACCAAAGAGAGCTTAGTTGACGCCTACAAACCTTTTCGAGGTAGGTCTTGACGATGTTAATAATCGCTGCTCCATATTTCTTGACACGAATGCGTCCGACACCGTCGATCTCCAGTAGCTCTGCATTCGAGACGGGAACTGCATTGGCAATCGAGGCAATACCTCCAGTCGTAAGGATATGGTACGGCATGAGGTTCTCGCTGTCACAAACACTAGCACGCCAGTCCTTGAGGATCTGAGCAAGTGTTTCAGCATGGTCCTCAGGAATTCTACGACGAGTACAAAGACGGTTAGCTCAGTATCTCATTCGATACAGCAGATGGCCCATGACTACGCACCTCCTAGAAGAAATACGCTCTGGGATGAGCGGATACTCCGCTGTAGTCGCGGGTCGAGCGACCACCTCCACAACATCGTCATCGCTCAGCTCTTCAACCACGTCCTTCACACTCGCCTTCTTCTTCTTAGTATTCTTCCTTGTTACTGCTGTCTTCGTCTTTGTCGATGCAGATTTCTTAGGAGCCTTTTTTTTCGAGGTCTTAGCACTCTCTTGTGGTGCGCCATCACTGGCAGATGCTCGAGACTGGTATTTTGTTTTGCAAACGATACGAACTCGCTCGCCACGCATGAGTCTATTGGCATTGATTCCAAGCGATAAGAACGTCGTCGTGAAGCCCTTCGCGTTGGTTTGGTCCTGCAAATTACGGGGCAAACAGGAATAAGAGGTGTCGTCTTGTGAAAGCCGCAAAATTTAAAGACGTACCACTTCGCGAAGATACTGGCGAAGAATCATGTGATACAAAATGCGCTCCACTTCACTGCGAGAGTACCGTCCTTTGCCTTTTCCAAATCCTCCGAGTTGTTCAAACTGGTTTTGCTTCCACTCTCTTCCCTTGACCACCATGCCAAGGAATACTTGAGCAATTTGCACCAGTGTCGTCGGATCACCACTCCCTTGGAGGGTTTTTACTACAAAAAGGCAAGACAAGAGAGTGAAAACAAATTCATAACTACTATCACAGCCTGTGGTTGCAATTCAGACATACTCATCTCAGCGAGAGCCACGCAGTCCTCAGTCACGTCTGACTTCTCAAACGAAATACCCAGCACCTTGTTTTTGCAGTTATCGCAAGTTCCGTGGCACTGTTCACTCGAAAAGTGCTCGCCAAAGTACTCGAGAAGGGATGTTCGGCGGCATTCCACTTGGTTCTCGCAAAATTCGGTCATACGTCGCAGGTTCTGCAGATGCACGTTGCGATGCTGCATATTGTCGCGATCCTTCGTGATTAGCTTGCGCCGTCGAGTCTAATGAGCACAAGCCTCGGAACTGTTATCGCACTCTACGTCAGGATGCAATTGATAACGACGAAACGTACCAGATCCAAGAAGGAATAGTAGAGAATGCAGTTAGCCACTTCTCCATCTCGTCCCGCTCGACCAGCTTCCTGTAAAGCAAGACGAATCAGCTATGTATGCTCGGAAAGATAATAGCAAAACTATGTACCTGGTAATAATGTGTCACCGATTGGGGTATTGTGTGGTGGATCACGTAGCGCACATCGGGCTTGTTGATTCCCATTCCAAAAGCAACGGTAGCACAAATCAGCTTGATTTTTCCTTTGCTCCACTCGTGGTGACGATACGCGCGGTCTCCCGCTTCCAACCCAGCGTGGTAAAACGAAATTTGACTTGCTTTTCGAGTGTGCTCAAACCCCAAGGCCTTGATCAGCTTTTCTGCTGTTTGCTCGCAATCTTTTTTTGACAAACTATTATTCACATACGGGGGACGCAGGTCAGTTCCACTGCAGCTACTGTATGACGCTCCTGCGGACATACCAGTAGATAATCCCAGAATCGTCGATGTGTTTTCGAACGAAGTCTGCGATCTCAGACATGAACTTGGATGTTTTCTTACGCACATCGTACGTCAGGTTTGGCCTATCAGTAGCACCGCACAGTTAGTTAAGCGTATTGTGCCCGACAGCTACGCAACGATGTGAGCCGCACCGATTAAAGCTTGAGCGAGTGATGAATGGGTTTCTCAGCTTCAGATTCTTGACGATATCAGCTTCTGTTTGCGAGTTTGCTGTGGCAGTCAAAGCCATAATCGGGACCTGCACATAATGTAATATAAGCAAAATGTCAGCACTGGTATGACAGGCACGCTCTTTCGAACCAGCAGCGTACAGAAGGAAATTTTGTTCGAAGCGTTCCCAGGTTCAAATAGTCTTTCCGAAAATCGTGACCCCACTGGCTAATGCAGTGCGCCTCGTCGATCACAAATCGAGCCAACAATCCCCGCTTCTCGAGAGATTTAAAGAGATTGCTGAGCATGCCGCTTGAGGCAATCTTCTCTGGAGTCACATACAGCATCTTGATTCTTATCTGATTGGAAAAGAGTTCCGAAATAATTGGCCGTTGTTCGGTAGCGTAGTCTTGGTCACCCTTCAAATTCGCAACACCCACGTCCAGTGCCTCCAGCTGCTGAACTTGATCTTGAATTAGAGAGACCAACGGAGAAATAACGATGGTGACACCGTCGTCAATGCAGGCAGGTAGCTGAAAGCAAAGACTCTTGCCACCTCCAGTGGGCATCAGCACGAAAACATCACGCCCGCTGAAAGCTTCCATTACTGTGCGCTCCTGACTAGGGCGAAACGCGTTATGGCCAAATACGTCGCGAAGTACTCTCTTGGCTCGCTGCATTTTGGAGTTCACACTTGGATCGCTTGAGACGCAAGGCTGTTCAGCTACGCGAGGGAAAGTTTGGTGCATTGCGCTCTCAACTCCAGAACTTGACGCGGCGTCCACCCAGGAATGAAATCCGCACGTGTTACAGCGATAATAAAGTCGGTTCGCATTTTCTCCATGCTGCACTCGAGCTTCCACTGTGGGTATACCACAAGAGCACGTCGGGCTTTTGTTGGAAGACTCGCCTCCATTGTAATAGACTTGAGGCATTTCTGCAGGTCGAGGTGGGGGCTGCACAGGAGACACATGCCGACTCTGTGGAGAAGCCTTCGTTGTTCCTTTGCACTCTCTGTATCGCCTGCTTAGTTCCTCTAGTTCCTGTTCCAGCTCTGTACGACGTTTCTGCATGAAATCCGGTACCTCTCCCTCGAGCGACGCATCATCACACTCCTCGCGAACTTTGCGAAGATTTTCTCGTGTCTGCTTAATTGACCTGCGGAGATCTTCGGCCAGCATAGCACTCGCCGTATCCTGGGATCCATTGGTCTGTGTAGATGGAGGAGATACAAAACTCTCGTCCGATAATGATGGCATCTGCGGCACAGCACGACGTTTTTGTTGCTGGGCACGTTGATGATTCGCAACCAGTGCATCGACGTCCACGTCGCCAAATAAACTATCTGCGCCGTCATCCATTCCTGTAAACGACGTCTGTTGAGCTGCTGGACGTGCTTGCAGACCTGTTCCGCTGCTCTTATATCCTGTATGAGTCCGACCGACTGTCGGTGGAGACGGCGACGGCACAGTCGTCCGTGTTAAGTCCACAATGTCTCTCGTCCCATGGAAATCTGCCGCTGAGGATGCATACTCAGTTCCAACCCTCGATCGATCTGTGGAGTTACTCTCATAATGTTTCGGCTGGTCTATAGGAGCTGAAACTGGCGCTGCGTTAATTACTGGAATCGTCCCTAGAGCAATCCTGGGCGTCGGGACCACTTTAAGCTTCGTCGACGCCTTCGATCTCGCCCGTAAAGCCTGAAATTTCAGCAGTGCATCTCGCCCTCGTTGAATTGTTTCCAGACAGTTTTCTTTGTCTGCTGTTCCGTCGTCAGCACTGCTCAATACACCACAAACGGGTACACAACACATGTAATAAGGCATATTAGGCCTCCTGATGTCATCAACCAGCAGACTAGCGCTCTAGAGTGATGCTTACGCTTTTTTCCTGGTCGCGCGACTGTCCAGATACTGTCCAATGACGTGGGAATTCAAACACTGCTGCAGTGTGTTCGTAGGTGCCTGTACACAATAACAGTATTTGTTGGACAGAAATTATCACGCACAAAATGACAGTAAGAGGGTTAATGCAACATCGTTCAGTAGTGATGCGTCTTGGGTATGCAATCGTTACCTTCTCGGCCCATGCGACCTGCTCCTTTAGGTTGAATTGCGGCGCCGCGCCCTCGCCCGATGGCGCTTTCGCGCGCATATTCGAAGTTCGAGTGCGGAATAGGAGTGATGGTATCGGTTCAGTACCCACTTAATAGTGACACCTCTCTTGAATGACAGATGTTGAAGTGCTTACGAGACTCCTCGGCCTCCGTTCATCACCTCGCACACGCACCTCGAAATAGTGTACGCGAAGCACAAGCATTGGTTGGAGCATCCTTCAAGGTTAGACTTTCGTTTGGTAGGACTGCTCGAGGTGATATGCTCCTTGAGAAGCAATATGTGAGCGCTCTATGAATCGGTAATTATCATCAAAGTGTAGTTTTAGAGAGCGTTAGCCTGTTGAGCGGCAGAAGTGAGGTAAATCGGCTCCATATAGCCGCAATCACCACGATCCCCTTCGCCACCAAATCCATCGCTGCTAGTGAATCCGTACGTGCATCGACACACGCCCGTGAGGTGATTGCAAAATCCGCGATTCGAGCATACTGCATCTTCTTTTGTACCACGCACCGAGCCTCCGACTCCATCAACACTGAGGGTCAGCGTCAAGGCTCCATCTAGAATCCATCGTAGAGGTGGCAAATCCCCGAAATTCGTCAGAAACTCGATGCGTATGGTGTTCGACCCAGCAGCATCACATGCTGAAGAGCCTGTTACTCCGTTGGTGTCCGTGCTGTAAGCTACCGACACTTTTCCGACTGTCGTTAAAGCTTCCAACGCACTTGCTAGCGAAGCAGCAGGTACAGTGAAGGGTAGCTGAGGTGTCGCTGCGTCTCGGAATTTAAGCGAGAAGAAGCCTGAGCTACCCTTGCACACCAACAGCTGCACTTCGTTCTGCTGGCGTAATGTCATTGGGTCATCCCCAGTTGGACAAGACCTCAACGAGCAGTCATGACCTTCCCAGCCAGAACTGCATAGACAACCTTGTATCATATCGTGCTCCCAGGTTTCCTTCTTATTGGGGACAGCACCGTACGTAAAGCTCATCGTTTCTCCGTTGACTGTCGCTCTCTTTGCCAACTGCTCCATCGTGTAGCACGTTCCATGGCCACTACAATCGTTGGGACACACCACTGCAGATAAAACGTTATACAACATCAGGTCACGCGTTCATAAAAATACAACGGTACATGCAAAGCGTACTTCGGTTGCAAGCAGCACCCGTAAAACCACTCAAACAGACGCATTCTCCCTTGGTTCTGTCACATTCGCCAGCATTCGAGCATTCTACCAAAACGTGCGCCGTGTCAGCAGTGTCTGTAGGTCGGTCAAACCAAGCTCGCCCTTTGGGGCAGAGCCGTTCGGTGCAATCACCGCCCGTGAAGCCTTCATTACAGATGCAGTCGTACGTCGGTGGGCCGCGACAGGTGCCTTTGCCACTACAAGCGATCTCTCCTGGACAAGCCGTGACAGTTCCACTAACGAACCCACAGTCGCCACGCTGTCCAATGGCTCCGTTACCGTCACTTGAGAAGTAATTTGGGTAGCACAAGCACACCCCCGTGGCGGAATCGCACATGCCTCGTCTTGAACACGGTAGATTCTCCTTGGTGCCCTGAGTTACTGTGGTGAACGTGAGTGAAGGTGTCGCGGAAGGAGTGGAGTGTATAAGTCCAGCAGAGCTACCGCTCGTATTCGGCAAGCTACAGAGAGAGAAAGATCAGTCTTACCCCGAGATAAATGACAGTACCGTTGAGGAACTTACTCCCCAAAATCTTGTGTAAACTCGATGCTGATGTCGTTTCCGATCGCTGTACAGGCCATTAACGTGATCCCACCAAAGGTGACGGTAGCTGCAGTCACGGAAGGCAAGGCCACCAGCTTATCTCGCACAGCCTTGGCCGAATCTCCCGCTAGAATCGGCTCGGTTGTGTATCCCGCAAATGTGAGCGTAAAGCTACCGGACTAGAGTCAAAACCGTCAGCACTAGTTAAAGTTGAAGAGTCAATCCCTCTTACAGTGGCCTTGCAGTTAACGCGTTGCTTTTCGTTCTGTTGAATGCCGTTCGGGTCTATCAGCGTTCCTGTGAGGGGGTCATCGCCTACGGGACAGAGTCCTGCAGAGACCACAACCACGTCAGGTGAATACACCGTTCTAGCAGCATTTAATCAATAGAATCGTACTCTCCCTGCAGTTTGAGCCCGAATAGCCAGGGTCGCAAACACACCCATAGACCTTGTGTGCATCCCAATTGTTCTCGTACGGGTAAATCGTTCCACGACCAGGATCTTTCATCAACGCATACTTGGCCATCGACTTGCAGCTGCCATGGCCACTGCAGCTGCAGGTCACTACAAAAACGAAAAGGTCAGTCGCGTGGATCACTTTCAGTAACAACCAGAAATACGCACTCCGCTCGCAGGCGGCTCCTGTAAACCCGGACTCGCACGTGCATGTGCCAGTGTCGAGTTGACATTCTCCGCGATTCGAACAAGGCGCTAGATTGTGTCCGTTATCTGTTGCAATGACCTCGTCGGACCAAGCAGCACACAATGGGCAGCTAGCTACTGGAAGTATAAGAGCTATGCCGAAGAAATGACCACGACAACTCGACGCACCTATGGAGCAGTCTGGACCGGACCAACCGTTCGGACACGAACACAAGCCCTGCGCTAGACAGAGGCCACGACTGGAGCAATAGTTCGGACACGTGTAGCCATGTGCGACCTGCAGCAACCACCAGGAGGCTGCAACCAGGGAGAGTGCCCGAGAACTGCTAAGCTTCATCAAGGGACGATAAGCATGAACACGAAATCACATTAGGCCGAGTAACTCCCGCCCGAAAAAATATTGACAGTCGCTGCTGTAATTTTAGTCAAAACTCGGTTGAGAAAATGAATGATACTCTTAAGATCTAACGAGGCCCATGACTTCCTTCACGTCTTTCATAGTGACGGCAGCGAGTTCGGAAGCCTGTGCTGCGCCATCCGCCAGCACCTTGTCGATATACTCTTGGTCCGCTTCGTACTGCTTGATGCGCTCTCCGATGGGGCAGATCCTGTCCAGGTCAAAGAAAATGAGGTTGGCTTCCGTAATTTAAGCAAAATAATTTAGCAGCTCACACTTACTTGGCAGTAACAGCGTCGGCCACACTGTCCTTAAAGGTGCCAGTACCGTAGTCAGCGTATTGAGTCTCCAGCTGCGCGACGCTCTGACCTGTGACAGCGCTGGCAATATCCAGCAAATTGGAGACGCCTGGTCGCTCCTCGCGGTCGTAGTAGATGCCGCTGACCGCGTCCGTCGTGGCCTTGCGCACCTTCTTGCGGATGTCGTCGGCGCTGTCCGTGAGCTCAATGCGACTGAGCTTTGACTTGTCGCTCTTGCTCATCTTCTTGGTCGGGTCGCGCAGACTCATGATACGCGCAAGAGATTTCCTCTGCGCGCCGGTGAGCGTCGTGGTGTCTTCCTCCATCATCGGATATGGCTTGGGCAGTACTTCCTTTCCGCCCGGGCGGTTGGATCCGAAGCGGGTATTGAAGGTCGTGGCGATCATACGAGAGAGCTCCAAGTGCTGCTGTTGGTCTTCGCCTACAGGCACGTGCGTCGCGCGGTACAGCAAAATGTCGGCAGCCATGAGTACGGGATACGATAGTAAGCCTAGCGAGCTGTCGGTCTTGGCTGCTGCCGCCTTCTGCTTAAACTGCGTCATGCGCTGCAGCCAACCGAGCGGCGTAATGCAGCTGAGCAACCACGCGAGCTCGGCGTGAGCAGCCACGTCGGACTGGCGGAATAAAACGTTGCGCGTCGGGTCCAGACCTGCGCCTAGCAATGCCGCCACCATAGAATGCACCTGGCCAGGCGTTCGCTGAGCGTCGAAGGGCACTGTAAGCGCATGCAGATCCACCACGGAGTACAGTCGGGTGGCGGAGACTTCTGATGCTGCCGATGATGAGCCCTGAAGAGCCACCCATTTGGCGATGGCGCCGCAGTAATTGCCCAGGTGAGGAGTTCCTGTGGGTTGGATGCCAGAGAACACGCGATGCTCGCGCTGGTCATCACTATGCGTGGCGGAGCTGACGCTAGATGAGGCGCATCGACGACATGTAGAAGCGATAACGGCGGGTTGAGGGGACTTGTGATGCGATACTCGAGCTGCTAAGCCTGCAGGCCAGCGCAAAAGAAGCGACAACATCAATGTGGAACGAGAGGTGTCGAATGCAGTTCGATCCCATCTCTTGACGAATGCTTACCGGTACTTCCTCTGTCCGGAAATAAAGGGCCACATCAAAGCAATTTTTGCTTATTTTACGGAGCTTACTAGGCTTGCGGTGCCATTCAAGTGCCATGCATGGCACCACGAAATGCCATGGCAAATGGCTGTGCCAGGTGCCAGGCCGTAATATTACGGCCAACTCAATATATCTTTCCGCGCCAATTTCATTCCGGCAGACGCCGTGCGATGCAGAGGAACAGAGACGTCAAGATCGTTGTGGCGTCGACATGCGTCTTGCTGCTTGGCGATAACGCGGCGGGTGCGGGCGAGCGCCAGCCGTGCCTACCGCGTCGGCGTTTAAACTGGCGTCACCACTCCCAGCTGCTGTTAAACGCGGGCCAGTTCCGCCAGTACTACAGGATGTCATTCCAGTCATTTGAGAAGTTGTTGCGACTGCTGGCTCTAAGCCTGCGCGTTAATGAGGCTCAATCACGTCGACGGACCGAAGGGAACGAGCCCCTTACTCCCGTTAACAAGTTACAAATGTTTATCTCGTGGCTGGCAGGGTACTCTTTCCACCCGGTTCGGGCGCTTGCTGGTGCTAGCAAGCCGGGTTTTTACATCACCATTCAGGAGGTGATGGATGTTATCCAAGCTCATGATGAGTTACAGCTGAGGTTTCCGGCGACGGAGTACGAGCAGCGCCAGTCAGCACGCGCGTTTGCTAGTCTGGTCAAAAACCCAGTTTTAGTCGGCTGCGTCGGTGCTGTGGACGGGTGGTTGTGCTGCATTCAAGTTCCCAATGGTCGCGAGGTGAACCGCGTCTCTTCGTTCTTTTCTGGACACTATCAACGGTATGGTGTCAACGTTCAAGCGTGTGTAGACCACCGTAGCCGCTTCACTGCGGTGACGAGTGCTAGTCCGGGCGGTATGGGTGATGCTCTAGCGTTTATGAGATAGGAGCTGTCTAGTCTCGTGGAGTCTTTTCTGGTTGGTCTACACCTCGTTGGTGATAATGCCTACTCAAACAGCAACACTCTGCTTACGCCATTTACGCGACCGCAAACTGCAAGTCAATCAAATGCAACAAGATTGTATCGAGACAGCTTCAACTTTCACCTGAGTCAACTACGTATCAGAGTGGAGATGGCATTCGGGCTGCTGGTGAATAAGTGGCGGGTTTTCAAGGCTCCGCTTCGGGTCGGAGTGAAAAGCATCAAGAAGGTGGTGCATGTAGTGTGTATGTTGCACAATTTTTGCATCACTGAGCGCCTGTGTGAGAGCCACAACGAAGATGTGGACGATGACGCGGACATAGCTGCTACTCTTGCATCTTTACCCGTCCCCGATATAACTGACTTGACTGTTGGAGCTAACGATGCATCGGCATATCGGGCAATGTACACCTCAACACAAGTCTATCCGGAGCCGACGTCGGAGTCGGAGTTGCTCCGCAACGGCTATGTGGACAAACTGCGACAAATGAAGCGGCTACGACCAGCGTACAACATTCGCCGCGCTGAGAGAGAACGAACTAGTGAGTTGTTGTAAGTTGAGTTTATCAAGGTCCATTCGGACAGTTCAGAAGTCGCTACCTTCTCATTGAACTACACTTCGTCGAAAAAGACATCTTCCAGCTTCGACAGCTTCATGCGGTAGAGATCCAAACTGCGTTGAAGGGATTCATCACTTTTCCCGGTCTGTTGTAGTTTTTCCATGCGAGCCTCTACCTGCTGGATGAGCTTGTGCAAGCTCATCAGACGTTCTGCTGTACTCGGTCTCGCAGGAGCAATGGCAGCTGCTAGCGCATTGACCGAATCTGCTACTTCACTACGCTGCTTCTTCGTTCCCACTTGCTGTTGGGGCTTCTTGCCGCTTGAATCGCTACGCCCACGCTTCAGCAAGTCAAACTTATCCTTGTCGAACAATCCACCATCGACAAAACTCGCCAGATCGCGTTTGTGCTTCAAACAATCGCGAAGGTAAAAGGTGTCAAGGGCCCCTTCGCAGTAGGTGAAGAAATCGTCCTCATGTTCCCCGGACTTGGTGAAGTTTGCCATCGCCTTCAGATACCTCTTGTTCACGTCCTTCCACATGTCATAGGCCTTGGTAGCACTGTGAATAACGACAACTGAAGCCTCAACTCCTTCAAAGCGCGCGTCGGAGGTGAAGAGATCGTTGAAGTCGGTGCGGTTCGAGTTAAACTCCGACGCAACATCACGCCAAAATGAGGAGTTGCCATGAGTTTCCCCAGCATCCAGCTGCTGGCGAGAAGGCTTGTCACCAATACGTGCGAAGCGCGGAGCAAAGGTGTCCGAAAACAGCACATTCAACAGCCGAATTGTGCAGTTGTTCGACGGCACCGAAACACCGTCAGCGGACGCGAGGGTTGCCGAAATCATGGAGCGATGTAGAGCATCGAACTCACACAGGTGCTTCACGCGATCAGTCACAGACGTTTTCCTTTCGAGGCGAAGCTTTCGGCTCGTGTACTCCTTTCGAAGCTGCTCCACTGTCCACAAGCTGTAGTCATCCGAGATTGGTGGCGTCGTCTTCCCCGGGTCTACAACAGTCCACAGTGCTGACACAACAGACTCCGAACGCGAGTTGAACTCACTGGGATTGGTAGTTGCCGTCTGCGTCGCCCCCTCAACAGCCCGCAAAGTGTTCGCGTCGGCTGCACTCGCGTCGACATCCTTGTCACCTTGCATTGCTTCAACCTCGCCAAACGTTAAGTGGGCATGTCTGAGCTTAGCGAAAGCGCATGGGGTGCATCAAGACGAATGGAGGAGAGTGCATGCTGCATTGGCCAACAGTGCCGGCCGCGGCTCCTGAAAAATTACGGTGTGTGGTGGAATATAACGCGATGGCGCGAGCTGGCACCGCACGAACCAGTCTGAACCAGATCGCGTGGCACAATCAGCTCACCTAGCCTCTGGCAGGCACGGCACGCGTGGCGTGCGGCTAAGACTGGGCCTAAATGCAAAAATCTTAAAAAAAAAGATTAAATTGTTTGGTGAGACCACTTTTTGGTCATCAAACAATTCTAACCCCCGACTTCTAAATAGCAACTCGATTACAGGAATCTAAGCACATGACTAAATGTGTTCCAGCAACGTTTTTGTGCTTGAGCCAAATTGTAATTTATTTTTTAATAATTACCAAAAAACTGACTACATGTATTTTATGTAAATTAAGCCTTTTTATATTGACCTACTGGTACCTGATTTGTGCTTAATATTCTTTCTACCTTCTTTAATCACTACCCGCTTCGCGGCGGTGGTGCATGCATGTTTAATTAGCATGCAACGCTTCCGTTCCGCTCGCCTCGGGCTCACTGCACTATTCGCATGGTACTGTAGTTGATGTTTAGAGCTAGCCGTTCGCTACCGCTACAGGGCGAGGTGGTACGGTGTGTTGGGGATGAGGTGGCCGCAGCTTGAAGTACTTCGTGGTATGGTATCGCGTGGTTTCGCTTAGAATCTTGCGCTTCCAGGTTGCGTGCGTTCGTCCACCCCAGTACGTCGAGATTTCGTGTACTTAAACACTTACCATTCCGTAGTCTCACATGACCCCGCACAATATCGTGGTTTTCTAGACTACCACTGCTCCGCACTTCAGGATTAATTTTATGTTCTTTCCTGGCCCGTGCTCCTCCTGGTTCGTGGTTCTTTACTCATCCGTAGCTCACGCCGCTTAGTAGTTATGTCTTTTCACTTTTCGTTTCATGCTCTTCCGTACACCGCCCTCTTCGTGGCTGCTAGCTATTCCATGCTCCCAAGGGTTTACGTGGGCTCCACATGTTTTCGTGGTCCCTAGTAATTCATGGTCCATCGCCAGAACCCTCGCCGATGTGTGCTCGTCCGTAGTTATGTTGATCTATCGCCCATGTATCGTGCTCTCCTGGTGTGACCTCATCAACCGCGCTATCGCGCTATCGTGCAGTCACGGTGTGCTCTCCTGTGTATGCTATAGTGCTAGCGTGCGTTACCCGTGCTAGCGTGCGTTACCCGTGCTATCGTGTTCTATAATGATATCGTGCTCCGTGGTGTGTGCAATCGTGGTCCCCCGAATCGCCCCCCCCTCGCGATTTTGTGGCTGGTCCTTCGTCCGTGCAATCGTGTTCTAATGTACTATCATCCTCCGTGGCTTGGTGAGCTCAGGTTCAGCACTGGTATCGTTCTCCATGGCTCGGTGATTTTCCATCTATAGTTCCCCTGGGTGCATGCTTTCCCAGGGTTTAGTGCTTGCTATTTTCCATACTATCGTGTTATATCATGGTGTCGCGGTTGGTCTGTCGTTTGTGCTACCGCAGTACCGTGCTCCGTGGATCAGTGAGCTCCGGCTCTACCCTGGTGTTGTGTTCCAATGCTTGGTGATCTCTCGTTGATGGTCTCCCGTGGCTTCATATTTGTCCGTCGATCGTGCTCCGTGCACTGCCGTGGTGTTAGGGGGAATTCATTTTCCGTGCGCTGGCACAGCTACGTGCTTTGTCGTGGCTTTGAACATGCGTGTTCTTCCGTGGCTCGTGCTTTTCAGTATGTAGGGGTGTCATTATTTTCAGCTCTCATCCTCTTCCATCATTTCGCGTTCTTCCGTGCTTTCACGGTGCGTGCTCTTACGTGCTTCCGCTCCCATTCCCTAGTGTATGCAGCCTGAATCAGTAGTCTGCAATGCCCGCGCTCTTACCTCTTTCGTGCCTCCGCGCTAAAAGGATCACAAACGGTGCTCCCAGTACCTTGAATATAAGCTACGTAGCGTGTTGAAAAAGGCGCACAATCTCTACGGGTCGCACACCACGCGCGCAAAACAAAGGAGGACATCATTTTTTTCGCGGCGGCGGAGTGGTTTATGGGTGAAGCTTTGACAGTTGTAGCCCATCACCCTAAGCAATAGATTACACATGGCGAGAGATCGCCAATCACAGTGTGTAATGGGGATCCAATAGAGATAACTTCAATTTGCTCCGCGGCAAATCTTATTGTCACCAAGAATATATGAAAGTTTGTATGGGTGGAGTGTATCCATGTGAGTAGAATTATAGTGATAATGGCATACGGTGGAGCTTCCTGCCCATTGTAAAGCGCAGCTACGCATGCTTAGTGTCAAAAGAGTGTATTTATTGACTCGGACGTTGTTTTAAGGAGCTGTGCAGCCTCACCACCCAGCTCGCCATCGTCTTGAAAACTTTACTTTGCATATAAGGTATAGTAACCAAGGTACAATGCAGGATTAGCCTACGTGGTAAGCTACAGACCACCTCAGCAACCTTTACCATTATACATACAACAGTTACAGCTCAGAAACACATATTTTACGCTCAGCAAGTGCTCTGATCCAGCTGAGATACCCTCACAGCACCCATTGAGAAGCTCTTGGCGTCACACTCCCATATTCCACACCTTATGGCTACATTCCACCATATAAACTCCCAGATATATTTAACGTCATAAGATTTGTTGCGGCACAAAATGTAGTTATCCCTAAAGGAGTCCCATCACACACTGGGATTGGCGCTTTCTCGCCACATGCAATCTATCGCTTGTGGTGATTGGCGACTCCTGTCGAAGCTGCATCCATAACTCTAGATATTGTACTCGTCATTGAACGTTGGACCAGAATATATTAACATGCCATTTGAATTGGAGAAACTCCTCGAGTTGGCACCAAAATAGAACAAGGAGCCTACGTAAATGTTTCTTAGTATCTCATGCATCTAGTGAACTATTTGCGTCCTTACTAACATGTTCGAGCCAAGCACCTCGCAGCAAGAGCTGACGCCAGGCCAGAAGGATTACGTAGTACGGTGCTTTGACTTCATGTCCAAAGCCAAGGAAGATGGCCTCTTCAGAGGGCAGCGAACCCGGGACCTGGTTGCTGCGTGTCTATAGATAGCACACGGCACGGTTACGACTGTGGTGAGCACCTACAGAGCCGACAATGAGACCAAGTTTGAGGTGCACATCAGCAATTTAGCGTTGCATGTTCCTTATCAGATACTTAACGTTAACCTCTATTATTTTATATGTAAAGCCAAAGCCTACTCAACGCGGAAGGAAGCGTGAATACGACCCAACAGAGCTAAAACCAGTGATTCATACGTTCATCGACACTCAAAACAGACTGGGGGAACCCGCAACAGCTCAAACAATCATTTTAGAGGTGGCCGACAAGACTAATGTAGTTCTGCAGCTTCGAACAATGCAACGGGTGCTCAACGAGCTCGACTTTCATTATGTGGTAGGTAAAAACGGCACATTATGGCCGACACAGCAGCTATTGCGTCACTTCGAGCGTACTACATCGAAAACAAACTTGCCAACCGACGCCCAACACGAAGAGGTGAACCAAACCCACGGACCACAGAGGTGTTTTTGGATGAGTCCTTCTGCAATGCTAATCACGTTGCAGGGAAGACATGGCTTCTGGAAGACAAAGTCCGCTTCAATAAAGTGGAAAAGGGCCTCGGTAAGTATTTTTTTTAAACATAAAAGCAAAAACTAATTAGAGTGTTATTGTTGTATGTCAGTGCCTGTATAGTTGCCGCGGGTTATATTTCGACGAAAGGAGGACGCGTCGATGCTGGTTTTGTGGAAGGATCGATAAAATGCTGGAATTCTACCCTGAAATAAAAAAAGGTGGGACGAAGATGATTACCACGGGAACTTCGACACGGAAAAATTTGAGAGGTGGTTTTTAAATCTCTGCAAAACCTTGCAGCAACAACATGGAGTATGTGTAATTCATCTAGACGGCGCTTCGTACCATAAAAGAATATAACAAATTGAACCCAACAATGCAGTCAACGCGCGGGGAGATGCAAACGTGGCTCACGCGGAGACGTACGGTAAAGTTGTTTAAAAATTATTTACTTGAGCTAATTGTATTTTGCAAAAGATATAATATTTAGCTTAAAGAAGACCAAAACCAAGCTAATGGAGCGTGTTATGCCCTTAAAAGAGAAGCCAATCTATATGGTGCAGACCATAGCGGCCAAGTACAACCATCGTGTACTCTACACGCCACCATATCACCCAGAGCTTCAGCCGATAAAGCTCATTTGGGCCACAGTGAAAGGTAGAATTGCCAGGGCCCCTCCGAAAAATGCCAACGATACTGTCGAAAAGGTCATTGCTGGGCTGAACGCCATCACGGCGAAGGAGTGGGTCAGCGTGTACAGGCATGATCAAGGTTTCGAGAATATGTACGCCGAGCGTGCCCAAGAATCGGCAGAATGGCTGCGGAAGAAAGGGTGCCTATTTAAATAAATATTTGGTTTTTCCTTGCACTCAAATCGTTATAATCGTAATCGGATTTGCTGCTGTTCAGTTGCGTACTTTCTTGCGCAAATCCATGTGGTTTTGGGAATTGCCCAATCAAATGACCGCCTCAAAGGCAACCCGTTTGTCGTAAATTTTGGGCATCTGGAAAGAGTTTTAAAACAGTCTTGTAGCGCGAAAACGGCTCCGAATCAGCTAATTCTGACCACATTTTGAAATCTACACCCGATTTTACCCCTTATATCTAGCTGTTACTATAGGATTTGGGTTGTTGAATCCTCATAACAGATGGCTACATTCTGATCCAAGGACTTGTGACGAGTACAATAGTCTTTGAAATTTGGACAAAACAGTGAATGCCCATAAACTTTTGTCGCGCAGTGTACGACAAAAGATTGGAAGCTAGAAAAACGAAAGATATTTAGAGTAGTACTATCCAAAAATATTGTAAGTTAAATTATTTTAAAAGTAAGTATGTCCCGCATCGTTCGGTCTACTGCCTTGAGCGCGTGACAAGAGGTCATGAATGCTTCGTTCCAATAATCAAACTCGGATGTTTGATCAACTACTGAATATGGGAGCTCTTTTTAAAAACTCAAATAATGCGAGTGTTTGGATCTTAATATCTGAGTGAAAAAATAGACTAAATGAATATTGCTTGTGTCGTCCAGATTGGGTCTCAATAGTGTTAGACAATGTTGCAAGAAGGTGTCGCAGATTCTAAATAACTCGGCAGAAGTCTTACCGTCGGCGTGATAACCGAGCGTGTGGTATTCATACGATAAGCCCAGTCCGCTCCCACCGAGGTGGACGTCTTTTTCAACAGTGATGTGTAGGTCAGAGCGCAAAGTGTGAACAAAACCAGCTTTGCTGAGTGGTCGCCAACCAAAAAGAAACTTTGCGCTGATCAATACAGGGGTGTTCAGGATGGACTGTTCGGCGAGGATACTTTAGTTTTGGCGGAAGGAGAAGTGTTGTGTCGGAATACGACCGGGCCGAGAACAGATTGGTGCACCCGGACGGGAACGGAGGAAACAGATGACGATCTACCCACTTCTCTCAAATAGGTTGACAAGCGTATCATCCCATTAGCTTCGCACTTGGGCAGTCCATGGTCAATGTACAAGTCGTATCAAGATTCAATGGCTCGGGAGTATGGACGGTCCGACGTATTCTTGGCTGAAATGTGCAACCCCAAGTGGAACGATTCTTGAAGCGATATCTTAAGTGATCCAGACGGCTCAAGATCGAGCAGATATCGTGTCTCGCGTGTGGTAGCAGAAATCACATGCGACACTTGTGGATCTAAACTAAGGCGTCCTGAGGCGGGTGAGAGCGCGGATTTACGCTGTCAATTTTCAAAAACGAGGGCTCCTCCACGCTCACGTATTGATTATGTTGGTCGACGAAAACAAACCCCGAACGCGCGAGATCGTAGACAAGATGGTATGCGCTGAGATCATAGAAGAGGATAAAAACCCTCAGCCAGATGAAACGGTCATGTCATGCATGTTTCATGGCCCACGCGGGACTACAAACCCTTCATGCACCTATATGAAGAGCGGCAAGCGCTTTAAAGGGTATCCGAGGCCATAAGCAGAGGGTACACAAGCCAATGCCAATGGCTATCCGGACAATGCTGTATCAGGCCATGCCTAGAGAGCTCTGTTGGAAAGCGCCGGAGAAAGGGCAATCAAAAAGTGGGTTTGCCGAAAACAGTATCAAGCTGCAATTGATCACAAGATTCACGTGTATCATCGATATACTGAGCGGTTCTATCATCTACTATTGCTCTGTCAGCGCAGAGGCCTAACGTCTTCTGAAGACTTGAGAACGGCCAACGGACAGTCTATATTGCCGCGCGAGACGCTGTCTACTTAGAGATTGATGACCTATTTGACGGGAAGCTGCTGCTCTCTAAATGCAGTATCAACTACGCCATATCTTTTTCACCATTCTGGTGAATTCAGCTCCAGCAGATGCTGGTGTTTTTATGGGCTCTTCGCTGACATTTCCCAAGACTTCGCACGCAAACATCAGGCTTTGATGGACCCTTTCAAGTCGGTGCTGGTAGAGTTTGAAACACCAATGAGAATTTAAGAACTACTTCAAGCAAACACGTATTCGGTTAGTGACTTCGACGAGTTTTCTCGATTGGGGTCGGTCCATGCATTGGTTTGTGAATCGATTCGTCAAAATGGCTTACTTCTACGTGGGCTCACTTGATACGATGCTTCAGCGTTGGAGGCGATTATAAACACAGGAGATCAGCTGAACGAAGGTCAGCGGGTGGTTTACGACCCGATTATTGAAGCGGTTGAATGCCCGGAGGAAGGCAAGAAGCTATTTTTTGTCGATGGCCCCGGTGGTACTGGAAAATCTACACTGCTTCGAAACATACTGGCCAAAGTCAGACTCTCGGGAAAAATCGCCATTGCTGTGGCGTCTAGTGGTATTGTCTCGCTCTTGCTCACGGGTGGTAGGACAGCGCACTTTACATTTAAATCCCTTTGAAATTGAACGAGAGCTCGACCTGCGGTATGAGATAGATTTCTCTTTCCTGCCGGCACATCAACATCGTTATAGACAGAAGTTTAAGATTCTACAAAATAATACCTAGAATCGCATCCCTTCTTACCTCTTAAAAGACATTCAAAGAATTTTGCGTGTCTCCTGCACACCCGACCGTTTCCACGAGCTGAATCCTATAATGAAGAAGCGCGAAGCGACCCCGGTGACTTGCACGACGACAGTAAGAAGCGCAATGTGCCGTCCGGCGGCTCGAGTGATGGGATCGACGCCGTGGAGCCGGCGCAGCCACCAAACGCTTCAGATCCTACGAGTATGTGCGTCAGCTCGGATGTGTTGTGAGAGAGCAAGAATTCTAGTGCTGTATGTTTAACACTTGTTTTAGATGGTGCCTACACAACGCTCGCCGTTGTGCTAAGTCTTGTTGGCAAGACGCTTAAGGCGTAAGCCCATATTTTTTCGTTTTGAGATTACTTCGAGCGGGAGCAGTGCGTTATGTACCGGGCAAAAGACTGTCAGACCACGTAGCTGTACAGTGGAGCGCGCGCAAATCATCTAGCGTGGCAGGTTCTGGATTCTTTTGGTCATGCGCTCCGCAAGTACGTGTGCACGCTGGGCTGGAAAGCAGAAGTCGCAATGTACTGGAAAACGGGCGAAGAGGAAGGAGCGATATCGTGCGTGTAAAGCGACGCTTAGTGTCGCAGTGGTTCGATCTGGAGGCCATGTGTAGTTCGAACTGGATTAATAAAGTATTAATTTGATTTGATAACGTTTGCTAAAACAGAACAATTGGATTGCGTTGTGTGTAGGATACTTGCCACAACCACGTCATGAACGAGTCGCTGTAACTGCGTTAAAGTAATTCAAGGACCTTCTTAGTGAGTCTGTGCTGTCCGTGTGGACACTTTCGGGTAGACATCCACGGATACATAGCAGATCGTGAGCTATGTTGCCGACATGCCCGGTACGTCTTGTGTCTGATCCATCACATAAGACACATTTTGCTTTTGTTCCCCTTCCTATAGGACTCCCGATTAGCCGCGTGACCGCTAGACTGGGCATGGAAGTGCTGATCAGCGTCTCAAGGTTGTTCTGGTTGAATATGCCTCTACCTCGGCAACGAAGGTGAACTACTTCTAGGGGAGTGGGATCAAATTATTGAAATCATGTTGCAAGACCAAAGCGCAGCGCAAAATCTTGATACACTAGCTTTGGGTTGAGCGCACAACTGCACTAACCTTGGTTTCTACGTTGGTAAGACAAGAAGTTGCGCAATTTTAAAGAAAAAGTGCTCAGCGTTATGGTGTTTGTATTGCTCTAAGTTAACGATTATTATCTTTTATGGCAGACACTCTTGTGGCTACTGTAGGAACTGGCCGTGGTGTCTCGGTAGTCTCTGCTTGAAAAAGCAGAATGGATTTCTTCTGGCCATCATAAAGTGATTCACATTCAAAAACCCATCGTGGGGGTCAGTTTTGTAGAGTCTAATGATAGACAAAAACCTCACCGAATGGTCGACATTGTGCACGGCATTCCCGCAAGCTACCGTGAGCTCATGATGTTTTATTGGAAAGGGAACAGCTCTCTAACATGTCCTACCTGTACATGTAGCCCTCGCATTCTCCAAATCGCGGGGCGCTTCTCCACACAACCGGGAGAGGGTCGCTCGCAGGTGGGCACACCTCGACCATGCACACACCAGTATACAGTTCTCGTAGCTGATACTGAATGATAGCACGCACACATCGGTCGATGCTCGTCTTCTTCACCGGTAGTTGCTTGAGCTGATTCCACCCCGCTCCCACTCGATTCGCCATCGTATTCCCTCCAGAAAAACAGCGGCGATGCCAGTTAGCTCACATGTTGCTGCAGCTAGTTTAGCTGCGATAGCAGTTACCTCTCATGTTGCTGCAGCTAGCCCGGCTGGAAGAAAGTATAAGGAAAACGCAGGTGCAACCTTATTCACACGACGCTCAAATACGCCCAACACGTCCCGAACTGCTCCTTCGTCGGTACGTACATCATCTGTTGTAAAAGCTCTTTAATTTCGGGATATTGAGGCAGCACGAAGTACTTCTTCCCGTGTATCATGCGCTTCACATAGCGCTGCGTATGGAGCTGAGAAGACGCTTGATGGTGACCTGACAAGATTTGACCAATCTGATCGATGCAGTGGTGTTTTCGGTTTTCTTTGAGATGCTTCGGCAGTGAAGCCACTAAGCTTCACTACAATACTTGATATATTAATTGTCCAATATGACAGCTAACGGCTTGAACTGTTTGCTGGATTCTATTGCATGGGTTGTTGGGCAAGCTAAATTCTGAAACGGAAGTCGTGAAAAGACATTTTACAGGTTGTGGTATCGTGCATTTTAATGGGTTTGTCCTTTTCACTTAGCCTGATGCTCGATTTATAATAAATAGAGGTCGTTTTTGTTAAATCGTGGTCTATAAAAAGAACAAATCGATCTAGGTAGACTGACTGATAAATCGAGCTACGCCAAACTGACCGCTCGGGATCGATCAACCACCAAATCTACATCGATATCCTGTAAATATACCCTTTTGCCGTTTTGAAATGGTAATTCGATCCCAGATAAAACAAATCGATGTCTGCCTCTCCCCATCTTATTGTTACGCGTGGTTTTATGCTCCGACCATGCTCGATCTAGGCTATAAAACGGATGTACACCATTTCCGAATCAAGTTGGTCAATTTCCCAGAGCAAGTGAACGTGTTGGTTTATGCACAAAATTAAAGCATCAGAAAAAAATCATTTCTCACAAAGTGAAAATTCCACTAGTCGACATTACGATCAAGTGAAATTACCGCAACCATACTATAACAGCTTTAACGACTATGGCTACATCTCGCTGGAACATCTACTTCTGCTACGTCTCGCTGGAGCCTCTACTTGCCTAGCTTCAGGTCCTCTCCTCTTGAAGCCACAAAGGAGGCCTTAAGACAATGACGCTCCATACGGCAGACCAACCGACGCGTTATAAAAGGCTTCGCCACCTCCACAGCTTCTTCCATCAGCGCCTGGCGGTGAGCGCAGAATGTGATGTACTCGCCTCTTACTAGGAATTCCTCCTTACGCTCGGCAATGAATCGCCGCATCTTTGCCTTGAGCACATTCCAGCAACCCTCAATTGGGTTGAGCATGAGGCTGTAAGGTGCTAGACGCAGCACGACCAGCTTGGAGCTGTTCATGATGCCGTTCCCCGTCAGAATCTCTCTCACAAGCGTATCAACCTCACTGTGGGACGGCGCATTGTCCGTAACAATAACTATCTTGTTGGACGGTACCAGCTCACGGTACTCGTCCGTTGCCAACGCATACCGGTGCCAGACGAAACACCACCTTGATGTAAGTTGGCTCCTTTCGAGGATGCCAACGCCACCGTAGCACGCTCTTCAACCCGCGAGTAGCCCTCACTACACGACAGATACATGTTGAAATTTGCTTCGTCCTGAAACACGATCATGTCACCCGCAGACGTGTGTTTCTCCAACTTGTCCGCAAACGCTTCGTCTTGTTCTTCGCATTATTCATCGTAATCTTCTCGATCCGCAGCCTCTTTAAGCTGTAGACCATGCCCTGGAGGGCACGGTGCACGGAAGACGTGCTTACGGACACGCCCATATCGCTCAGCAACCTGTCGCGCATCTGTTCACAGGTGTGGCGGCGAGATATACCTCCAGCTGGGCCATGACTGGAACAGTCATTTTAACGCGAACGTCGCGAACTCCTCCGTGAGCTCCGGGCTCAGTGTCAGCGCTAAGAACGGCGCGACGAGCGGTGCTGCACTGCAGCGGGGCTGTCGTAGCTTTAGCGTAAGAGGAAGACGTTCGACTCAAAGAGTCACTGATACTCTTGTATGTTATCAAAGGACACTTACAGCCCAAGACCAGGCTCAAAGTAGA